TTCTGAAAGTTAGTGTGTTTTCATCAAGCTGTTCTATATCAGGTCAAAGAAAATGAGATTTTTCATGATATGACCCCCTTTAATAACTTGGCAAGATGATCTGAGCACTCTTATATTACATTTATAGGCTTCTGCTTGGTCAGTCGTCCTGCCTCTTATCACACGTCCCGCGCTCCTGTTATCTCACAAATCAAGTGTGATGAGTCTGCACTCTCACTATATGTCAAGCGAACACAATTCAGGAATGATGTCGGGTTGCCGGAGGCCCGTAAAAATACTTACAAATAGAATACATCACTTCACTTCTGAAAACAAGTGCAAATGCAAACCATGTCTAGAAACTGAACTTATACTGATGTGAAAATTAGCCGTTTAATATGCTATTGACAGTGTTAATTCTTTATACGATTTTGTTGTTTATTTCTAATTTGATGCTAAATTGTTGACGTTTCAGAGATAAGCAAATGCTCTAATGCAGACCTGATGTCCAAGTCAAGACAAGAAATAGACCATTTAACCAAGCGTGGAATATTTGAGGAGGCTCATGAATATTAATTAGGCTGCACTTGACTATCCAATCAGATCACCTGGCAACATTAGCATGACTTATTAATATTCATAAGCTACGTTAAGACTCAGCCTGTCTGACAGTTCAACATGTGTCCCGCACTGCAGCGACGTCATCATCTAATGTCTGAGAGTTTTAGCATCATTTGCATTTTTGAGATTCAATTCATTTGGTGTTTGTACATTATACACTAGTCCGAAACCATCTTGAATGCAAGTCTTGGTTTGCATTCAATTTTTGGATGTGCTGCTGCAAGCAGAAAACTTTTTAAGAAGTGTGTTGGTCTATACTAGTGAGTGCCTACGTAGGCAGCAAGCACTTTCCCCGAATCGGGTACAGAATAGGTCTCGTGAAAGAAGGAGCTTTAACCTACAGAAAATGCTGAGTGTCAACCTCAGGAGGTCAAACTAAATATATAAGCTGTTTTATTTTCTATTCATATTATATAGCGTAAGCAATTTTACCAAAAGACAGAGCATCATGTCATTTTCTATATAAACGGTAAAAAGCCATAATTAAATAGGCTAAAACTGTATACTAATTGTAAGCAAAACTAAAGAAGCTACGCAAGAACGAGTATAGAGTTGCAAATTTAGCCTTAATTAAGTCGTCGCATATTTGATCAATTTGCATTGAACTAATTTAGTTAGGGTGCCAGAGGGTTAGAATTATGTTATTTCTTCAGTTTTATGAGTTTAAGAAATGTTAATGTTTTGTAATGTGGGGAAATCATCTGGGAACAGGGTTGCATGCAAAATGTGAGACACAGCTAAATATTATGTTTCTGGTCAAATGTTTTCATTACAATCATTTGATTTTGAGTTTAACAACTTATGCATAAATAGATACATCTATAATGGGAAATTGCATTTATCCTCCCAGACAGCAACATAGTGTCGGCCCAGATCCGGCCCACATCTGGTACATGTGGATTCCAGACGTGGGCCAGATCTGGGCCGGCACTATGTTGCTATATGGGCTTTTGTGGAGAAGGCAATCCCAGAATGCATTGTGAAAAGCTCAGTGGACAGATTCATAATTGAACAGCATTTACTGTATTGCTTTATTTTACAGGAGGCCAGTGGCCAAAAGTGATGTTCGAAGACCATACAAGTTTGATGAAACCATCAAAATTAGGAAAATATTTACATTTTACATAAACATGAGGGAAGAACAAAAGACTAAACTCGGTTAAGGTATTTTGAATTTTTTTTTTATTTTACAATTCTGCTCAAATGTCTCTTTAACGTCTTGTCTGTGAATCCCAGTTTATTGTATAGCCTTAATTTCAAAACAAATGGGATGTTTCCTCAGCTTCCGTGCGTCGGGATGCATTCCTGTTATCGTCAGTGGGGAACTGGGCAAACGTACTATCAATGACAGGAATTCAGAAATGCATAGGAATTACCATGACATAAGCTTCATAGACGTGAGATGGATTGATAGACAGATGGAGAAAGAGTGAAAGGAAAGGAAGAGGTATTTGAAGTTTACATGAATGGGTTTTGACGGATAGTGTTTGTACACAGACACGGAGCTGTCCTTGCCAAAGCTGTGAATGCGTGACAGAGCTTAGAAGGTGATAAGGGCTGAGGGAGAGGACGGTGTGGAAGGAGATAAGCTTCCCGAGAGCGAGAGAGAGAGAGAGGGAATGAAACGGGACGTCTGGTTGCTGGGAGCAGATATTGGGCACTGGATGCCCTGATTTTGCATTAGGTACGGCAGGCTTTAGCCCTTTACTCCAAACGGTTGAGAATGATAGCGAGGTTTTTTTTTTGAGCTACAGGAGTATGATCCATCCAGATTTGTATTTTGCAACACTTCTCTTGTATGAATTTCCACATTTATTCCACATTTCATCTTTTAAAGTAAACGCATTACGTTCCACAAAAGTTGCAATGTGGCCTGGTTGTATTTCATAGTACATTTTTGAAACCGTAGTTTCAAATGTACGTATTATGTATGTAGGCCTATGGTTGGCTAAAATCAAGACGTAATCTAAAATACGTCACATTTCGTTTACACAGTTTTAAAATGATATGCGTTGGTTATAGAACATTTAACCCTATTTAGAACCGGCTGTGTCTTCGCCGACACAGATCAGCAAGCTGTATTCATTGTACCGTAACTCTTCAACCGTTCGCACTATCAAAACCATTCAAATTGCCCCTGACAGTAGACAACATGCGCTTTTCGGCAATATACGGCTTATTACGGTAATTCCGTCAGCAAATGAGAGCAGCTTTCTGGCAGAGCGGGAAGGAAGGATTTGAACAGAGAGATACGAGCGCGGCAGGTTTGAGTGTTTTGGATTGCATAAAATAGTAAAAGAAACTATCAAATACATGGCGAAAGAAGTGGTAGACAGCAGAAGAGGGGATTGGGATGATTTTAAATTAAACTTGGGAGGCGGATGGTCGTTACTCTTTCACGTATCTTTACATGTGGTGTATGCATGTGTATGTGTGCGTGCCTATGAATGGACGCATTTGTATACGTGGTGTATGAAAAAAAGTGTCCTAAATGAAAACTGTGCAACCCAATGTCACAAAAAAGACTTGTATCTGATGTATTATACTTCATTTTTCAACTTTAAAGTGTTAGTTCCTTTCGTTTGTGATTTTTCTGTTTTTTTTTTCTAAATAAAAATCAGAAAATGTATTCTCATCTTTTACATTTTTTGTCTATTTAAATTCTATTTACAAACTCACCACACACAAAAATGGTCAATAACTGTAATTTGTTGAAAGCTAATATTTTTCTGAAAAAGATGACACATTGCACATGCAGATAGCACATTATTTTAGAATTTCAAAAAATCAAAATGTGTGAAAAACACCTATTTTAGCTTCAGGTTCTAAAGGGTTAACTCTTTCCTGCCGGCGTTGTTTTTTTAAAAGTGTACATCAGATCAGATACAGCATGATGTTGAAAACACAAATGGAGTAAATCGAGTCCATCAACACCCCTAAAGCTTCACAGTCCTAGAGCTCGTCCTGGGTCGACATTTCATTCAGTAACATTAGGCAGTTTTGATTAATATGTTGTTTAATGTTGATGATCGCATTATTCTTGTCGCTTGATAAACTTAAGGTTGAGCCACTGTAGTCACTCAGACTATTTTAACGATGTCTTTACTAGAGCTCGACCGATTTATCGGCAGGCCGATATTAGGCATTTTCCAAACTATCGGTATCGGCGTTTATAATAGCCGATAAATGAATAATAAAAAAAAAAAAAAAAACGGACGAAACATCCTTCAACCATGTCATGAGTGTTGGAGTTGTATAGTTTGTCCACCAGAGGGCACTCTACACCGTCCCTGTTGGCAACACTCGTGTATAACGCGCAACACATCCTGCAACCTGCTGATCCAGCCAGAGTCGGGCAGAGAGAATTAGTTATCCGCGAGTGAGATCATCTGTGAAGTGTGTTCATGCCATGGTGAGTTGGTCACATACATTGCTTGAATAACAATTAAAAGAACATTCCCATCAGTTCTCTTAACTCAAATAAATATCATGTCTAGTTTTGCTGCTGTTAAATAAGCCGAGAGTGAAGCGGAATTAGCTAGTAATAATTACGTTACGTTTACAGTGTAGTTGACTGACTGTCCTTTTAACTTTTGACGATGTGACTGAAGTATTTCTTTAATAGCGCGTGACAGTTATAGCAATGAGACATATCATCTCTCCTTGGCCTGTTATATTGAAAATGTATGTTTTACAATTTGCAGTATGACGTTATCCATTGCTAAATTATGGCTCATCATAGACTAGCTAACCACAAAGCTAGCTAATGCCACTATCATCAGTGGAAGACCGCAAACGTTAACATTAATGAGCATGGAAACCACAAAGAACTTTTTCTGCCTAAATAAAGTAATGATCACTGTATTTATAACTAGCATATCTCTAGTTACAGTCCCTGCATTGTAAAATGTAAGTTAGACTTGCGAGGAGTGAACATTTAGACAGAGAAAAAGTATCAAACGTATCTTGTGCATAAAAGACAAAGTTAGCTTTTCTTTTACATGTGTGTGAAATCCAACGACGCCAAGTGTGCGTTGCAGACTGCCGTTCAGACGCAGCATTAACGAGTCACATCGCTAAATAGTAGGTTTTAGAAGGCAGGCAGCAACTGATGATTGAAAATGGTTTGATGTTGCTTGATGGAAAGAATTTAAAAACTGCAGGTAAAGGGATAAGCAAGCTGACATTGTAATTATAAGTTAGCTTATAAGGCAATGTAGGGACTAATTATTACAATACACACGCACACAAACATTTAGGAATGACCTTTATCTTGTTTAATGATAATATAAATGATGATGATATAGTAATAATGTCATCATTATTTTTTGTAATTATCACTGTCAATAATAATAATAATAATAATAATAATAATGCTGGTAGTAATAGTTGTGGCTGTAGCAGCAATCATTTTATTTGTATGTTTATGTTACGTTTTATGTTATGTTGTTTTTTGTGTATCTCATCTGGCTTGTTTACTTTATATTTTAACAGATGGCAAGTGGTGGACGAAGTCAAGTATGGGAGCATTTCACAAAAGGCCCATCAGGTACAGTCACATGCAACATCTGTACAGCCTCTGTGAGCCAGGGATCTGGCAGCCTCAAATTTAAAAATACATCCAACTTGTGGGCACACCTTAAATCAAAACACAAAGAGATGTACGAGAAGAGGCAAAAAGAAGCACAGCCAACCACATCATCATTGATGAATATGACACAGCCAAACCTAAAACAAGTGCTAGAGAAAACCACAAAATGGACTCCAAATGATCCAAGAACTCAAGAAATGGACAAACTCCTGATGGAGATGATAGCCACTGACATCCTGCCTTTTACAGTTGTTGAGGGTGCAGGGTTTAAAAGGGTTATGGCCAAAGCAGAGCCCAGATACCCATTAAAGACAGATACATTTTTCCGTGCAAAGAAGATGGATGAGATTTACACAGGAGTTGTAAACAAAATAAAGAAACTGCTGTCAGTTGAAAATGCAGGAAACATAATTTCTTTTACCACCGACTGTTGGTCAGGGTCAAATGAGGCACTCATGAGCCTGACTGCTCATTTCATTGACAAGAATTGGAAAAAGGTCCAACTTGTCTTGAACGTGAAATCCTTGTCACAGTCCCACACAGGACAGTACATTGGAGAGACATTTCTGTCCATGCTTGAAGAATGGGAAATTGATGAGGAGCGGGTCATGCTTGTACTCAGGGACAGTGGGGTAAATATGGTGAAAGGCATGCGCCTTGTTGAGATGCCAGACCTGAGCTGCAGTGCTCACATACTGCACCTAGCTATCAATGATGGCCTCAGTTCCCAGAGAGTGGTGGTGGACATTCTGGCAAAGCTGAAGAAAATTGCAACTCACTTCAACCACTCTGTTACGGCACAGCAACGCCTATCTAAAATTCAGGAGGAGCTAGGTGTCCCACAGCATTCGATCATACAGGCAGTACAGACAAGGTGGAACTCGACACTGCACATGTTGGTGAGGATGATTGAACAGAAAAGAGCCATCACTGCATATGCTAGCGACCATGGACATTTCTCATGTCTGTCAGCAGAGGAATGGTCCATTGCGTCGAACCTGGCAGAGACCCTTGGACCACTGGAGGAGGTGACACTGGAATTCAGCAGAGAGGACTCATCCACATCCTGCATTATACCATGTTTAGCAGTGTTACAACGTTTACTGGAGTCAGAGGGACCAACCACCAGGGGTATTCAAACCACAAGAAAATTCATGCTGGACAGTTTGCAAAAAAGATTTGCAAAAGTTAAAGACGCTAAAGAGGTGGTGCTTGCCTGTGCCCTGGACCCACGCTACAAAGAGCGGCCTTTGGTACCAGAAATTCTGGTAAAAGTGAAAACCTGGCTAAAAGAGGCTATGGAGACCAGTCCACCAGATTATGCCACGCAAACTCCATCTGAGGAGACCGATCCCAAAAGGCCGAGAACAGAGGACCAAGTACCCAGTCTCTTAGACTCGCTGTATGACACTGTGCTCCTTCCATCCACCAGTGAGGCAGTGGAACCAGAGGGGATCATCGAAGAGCTAGAACGGTACTTCAGAGAGCCTGTCATTGACAGAAAGAGTGGGAATCCATATGATTGGTGGAAACACAACACCAACCGTTTCACCAGACTGTCAGTTTTGGCAAGGCAGTACCTCTCCTGTCCACCCTCCTCTGTGGCGAGCGAAAGAGTGTTCAGCACCATAGGTAATATATATGAGGATAGGCGAAGCTCTTTGAAAGGAGAAAATGCAGAGAAACTTTGCTTTTTGTACTACAACCTGCCTCTGCTGGACTGGAGCTATTGAGGATTGACTGATTCAGTACACTACCTCATATATACTGTTAACAATTTATAAGTAGTATAGTTCAAAGTTATATTTATGAAGCTATACCAAGTCTTTTAATACTGGTAACTTTGATTTGGTTGTTGTTGTTTTTGTGTTTTTGTTCAAAGGACTTTACGTTTCATATCTTAAGTTTGTATTTTTATACATTTTATTTATCAGGACTTTAATATATTTTGATGTTCCTCTGTTCTGTTGTGACAATAAAAGAAACAAGTTTCTTTTTAAAATGCATTATCATATTATTTTAGTTAAAACTCATAAATAACTACAAATAACTAATGTTAGGGAAATCTGTTAATGTTTTGTTGCGCGTTTCTGTAAAAAAAAATATCGGCCGATATATCGGTTTATCGGATTTTAAAACCAACAAATATTTGTATCGGTATCGGCCTTCAAAATCCTTTATCGGTCGGGCTCTAGTCTTTACTAACTTTTCTGGGCCGGCAAGTTTTCGATCCCTTAGAAGCCTATGGAGGAGTGATCCAGCTCTCAGATTTAATCAAAAATATCTTAATTTGTGTCCCGAAGATGAACGGAAGTCTTACGGGGTTGAACAACATGAGGGAGAGTAATTACTGACAGAGTTTTCATTTTTGGGTGAACTATCCCTTTAATTGCAACTAAAACTTTATTAAATGCTGTAAAAATTGATTTGAAAACATCCTTATTGGTGGAGTGTGTTTTGTGGGATTCCAGTCCACTATAGCTTCCACTCCTCTTCCTAACATTCACCGGTTCAGTGAAATGTCACCGTACTCATGAAATTCTTTACTCTCTTTCGGGGTGTTTTATAATTCCTGGCAGTGGCCCAAAGGCCGAAGCTCATTAAATATTAATATTCTATTCTTTCAACCTAACGTATGTATTCATGAGTATATGTATCATACTTGTGTATGTAGAAAGAATGGTGAACGGTAAGAGGTCTATAATGCCTGTATAGAGCTAGCCTTTAGCATTTCCCTTCAGGTCAATCTTTGCCCTTGTGCATTCAGTTCTGGACCAATTATTTGTGAGCCAATTACATGAATCATAAATGATGCCAAAGCAATGCTGATTGACGGAGCTCATTACAAGACCAGTCTGTTAAAGGAAAGGTTTAGTTCACTGGTTTACATCCATCCTTCTGCTCGGTTGATGTCGAGGGCTTCTATGCTGCAAGATTATTGGCAGTAGTTCAATGTCAGACGTGTGAGAACTTCACTAGAGATGGCAGCTTTCATAAGCGCTCACTTTGTCTTTGAAATCCAAATGTTCTCCCAGGTGGACATGACTGGAAATCAAAGTTGGAGAGACAACTGTTCTGTCTTTGCGCCCGAGGCGAGGGCGGTGTGAGCGGAGGCTGTGTCTTGGGGAGTTGGAGAAAGTTCTGCCTTGTGAATCGTTCGTGATACAATCTATGTTTTATGTCGAGCGCAGAACTTGAGGAAAAACCTTTATCGGAGTCCCGAGATGCAGTGTGATTCACAGAGGAGAGTAGCACACGGGTCACACAGGTGTCTGGCTATGAGGACTGGTTTGCAGACAAATGAACAAAGTGTGATTTCACGTCTATCCCAGAATTAATTTTCCTTAAAATTTGTACTCGCCTTTAAACCTGTGGAGTGACAAGACTGACTTTCTTCTGTGGAACACAAAAGTAGATACTTTGAATATTCGGAAAGATTATTTTTTTTTGTCCGAACAATAAAAGTTGATCCAAAACAATGAGTCGTTGGACCCCAGAACTTTTTCTAAATATCTTTATTTTTTTGTTCCACAGAAGAACACAAGGCGAACTATTCATTAACCCTCGTGCTGTGCTGAATATCATTCACTTTATTTGTTGTTCCTTGTCAAAATTACCGGCCTTTTAAATTGCTTGTAAATATCTCATTATGCTATTTTAATCACCAAATATTGGATTAAATATTTTTAATAACCTACTAATCGTTGGCCTCATTGACACATGCATCTACAAGGTCAAATATCACTTTATTTTAAAAATAATATACATTGCATCATCCAGTCTGTTGTGATTGGTCTACTCTGCTCTGATTGGTCAGATGGCCCAGTCTGTTGTAATTGGTCTACTCTGTTCTGATTGGTCAGATTGCCCAGTCTGTTGTGATTGGTCTACTCTGCTCTGATTGGTCAGATGGCCCAGACTGTTGTGATTGGTCTGCTCTGCTCTGATTGGTCAGATGGCCCAGTCTGTTGTGATTGGTCTACTCTGCTCTGATTGGTCAGATGGCCCAGTCTGTTGTGATTGGTCTTCTCTGCTCTGATTGGTCAGATGGCCCAGTCTGTTGTGATTGGTCTACTCTGCTCTGATTGGTCAGATTGCCCAGTCTGTTGTGATTGGTCTACTCTGCTCTGATTGGTCAGATGGCCCAGTCTGTTGTGATTGGTCTACTCTGCTCTGATTGGTCAGATGGCCCAGTCTGTTGTGATTGGTCTTCTCTGCTCTGATTGGTCAGATGGCCCAGTCTGTTGTGATTGGTCTTCTCTGCTCTGATTGGTCAGATGGCCCAGTCTGTTGTGATTGGTCTACTCTGCTCTGATTGGTCAGATGGCCCAGTCTGTTGTGATTGGTCTACTCTGCTCTGATTGGTCAGATGGCCCAGTCTGTTGTGATTGGTCTACTCTGCTCTGATTGGTCAGATGGCCCAGTCTGTTGTGATTGGTCTTCTCTGCTCTGATTGGTCAGATGGCCCAGTCTGTTGTGATTGGTCTACTCTCCTCTAATTGGTCAGATGGCCCAGTCTGCTGTGATTGGTCTACTCTACTCAGATTGGTCAGATGGCCCAGTCTGTTGTGATTGGTCTGCTCTGCTCTGATTGGTCAGATGGCCCAGTCTGTTGTGATTGGTCTACTCTGCTCTGATTGGTCAGATGGCCCAGTCTGTTGTGATTGGTCTTCTCTGCTCTGATTGGTCAGATGGCCCAGTCTGTTGTGATTGGTCTACTCTGCTCTGATTGGTCAGATTGCCCAGTCTGTTGTGATTGGTCTACTCTGCTCTGATTGGTCAGATGGCCCAGTCTGTTGTGATTGGTCTACTCTGCTCTGATTGGTCAGATGGCCCAGTCTGTTGTGATTGGTCTTCTCTGCTCTGATTGGTCAGATGGCCCAGTCTGTTGTGATTGGTCTACTCTCCTCTAATTGGTCAGATGGCCCAGTCTGCTGTGATTGGTCTACTCTACTCAGATTGGTCAGATGGCCCAGTCTGTTGTGATTGGTCTACTCTGCTCTGATTGGTCAGATGGCCCAGTCTGTTGTGATTGGTCTACTCTGCTCTGATTGGTCAGATGAAGACCATAGACTGACACTGTTACAAACTTACATAAGTACGAGTAGAAAGTAAAACTGGAATTACTGATAATGATAACTAGGGAGAAATGAACTTTATTTATCTGCACTTTGATCTTTCAAACTTTGCAGGCCTTTTTCATTCTCAAACAGCTGCAGTATATTACACACGTGAAAGGCAATATCCGAAAAAGCATAATAGGGGCACTTTAAATCCTAGTGTATTAAGTGAAAGTAGACCACACACACACACACACACACACACACTGAATCTGGGGTTTCTAAGAGAACATGGCATAATTATTAATCAAAGACACCTCTGCACTAACCTGACTGCCCTGAGGCTCCATTAGATATTCAGGATCACTTCTCTGCTCACCTGTCTCCACCAGCACCTGTTCTTTCAGCCGAATCTTCATCAGTATTCCTCTCACTTACCTCGCTCTCCTCCTGTCTCGGGCCCCAGATGAGCCGTTGTAAAAAACGGAAGGAGAGCTAAAAAAAAAAGATTGGATCTACCTTGTTTACTGCCATCTTCATGGTTCTTTAAAGGGCGGATTTGTATCGAATCTAATCTCCATCTAATATCACTTCTCTGCCATAAAGTCGTATAACTCAAGCACCTGAAAGGCCCGAAGGGGTGGCGTATTGCTCCATCCGAGACAAAATGACTTCCTCGTTGGCGCCCGTGATTGGCCGTCCTATAGTCCCCAGTGTGCAATGTCTAATTCATCCACTTGCTGGATTGTATGATATAATTCACATTCTTGGGATGGAAAATTATAGCTTCTGATTTTCTTATATCACAGGTGTGCAATTGATTTGAGCATGTCACTGAAGGTCATGCATAAACTATCTACCTCGCTTCTTATTTTAATTAAGTGACACCGCATTTCCTCTTCACGTCAATGCATTTACCTCATGTCGAAAATAAAGCTTGTCATTAAAGGCTCTCCAGGGTTGTTTCGACAGTTCTCCAGCTTGCTTGCATTCCCCGTGTGCTTCATTTCCCAGATTTTCCCAGATCCGTTCTTGACAGGTGTAGATGGAGCGGGCGGGGCTGAGCGCGAGCGGAAAAGGAGTTTTTTTTTTTTGAACGCCGCTCAGGTTTTCAATTGGCATTTTAAAGTCTGCGCCAGACTCACCAAGACGGCCGAGTGTCTCTGCAATTCCTCTGGAAAGCGGGAGCAGAATAAGGCTACGCAACGGAATCCGCTGTGAGAGGGAGGAGAGGATGATGGATGGCGGCTGTTAGATACAGTAATTGTGCTCAGGTAATTGCCCCTCCCTCGCCATAATACCCCTGAAACCTTCTCCATTTCCACGGCAGGAGAAACTATCAGCAATGCATTTCGCAGGCTGAGCGGGGTCCTTATGCTAGCTGCAAGGAGACAACTCTTCAGTTTGCCTAGCGAGTTTGACTATGCCTGGCTGATTTGCAGCCCTTGGCATTTACAGCATTACTATTAAAGAAAGTGTGTTGTTGCCATAATCAAGTGTAATCATGACAACTTCATTTACACTGTTGTAATTAGCATTGCTGTTGTACATGATCTCAGATATGAAGACGCATCCCACACACCCTTTTTTTCATTAAGAGGGGATTATTAAAGGATTATGCGTCTGTTTAATGTAATTTATGAAAGGATTTCTGTAAAAGCTAATATAAGACTAATCAAAATCAGGCTCTCAAACTTAAAAAAAAAACAACAGCAATGAAGAGGACATCTAGGATGCAACTAGAGAGCTAACGTGAGTCATTAGCATGTTAGCATACATGAGGTTTTAAGCATGTTTTTAAATTTTGATATCATTATATTGATTTCTGTCATTTTATCATCACAAAATATCACAGAATTCGTCAAATCCATTGTTAACACTTAAAAGTTGTGCTGTTCTTTTCCTTTCAAAAAGTTGTCGCCTCCTGGCTGGAAGTAACTCACTTAAAGGGTTTTACTAATGCTAATATTGATTATGCATACTATGTACCGACAAACAGATGAGCCCAGAATATGAATGCAACATGCTAAGCTTTTTTCAATTAGA